AATTATATTGTATCATATCATATCCAGTTCTGGAGGTCAGAAGTCTAAAATGGGTTGGCAAGGCTGGGTTCCTTCTAGAGGTTCTAAGGAAGAATCTATTTCCTTGCCTTTCCTAGTTTCTAGAGACCGCCTACATCTTTAGGGTCATGGCTCCATAACACTGCTCCTTCATCGCATCTCCTTCTCTGGCTCTGACCCTCCTTGCTTCCCTCTTATAAAGACCCTTCCCTCGTACTGGGTGCACCAGGATAATCCAGGATAATGTCCCCATTTCAAGATACTTCATCACATCTGCAAAGTCCTTTTTGCCATATAAGGAAGGAAACAGGCCCACAGATTTGGGGGATTAAGACACATACTGAGTCTCCCAAAGTCCTTCTGTCTCATCGAAGAATGGAGACATTAGATGTGATAATGATAATAATCTAGTAGAAAGGAGAAGTAATAATGCCAGAGAAAGAGGACACAATAACAAAATCATTAAGAAATGAGAGGAAATAGCATCCAAAGTTACTTCTCCCATTTTAGCAGTATTTGGTACATTTTAGGGGCTTGGTAGATTTCTGTAGACATTCTAATACGCGCTATTCTGAAGCTCAAGTATTTACTTGGAAGATATCAAAAGGCAGAAACTTGTGCTACATTTGCAATATTCATAGCAAAATTAGACAAAAACACTTATCCAACAATAAATTAAAAAATATTACTTCAAAATCTTATTTAAGGGAAAAATAAGTTATCAAAATATTTGAATGATAAAAATATAAGACCTGGCGAAATTCATAAAACATTGCCAAAGTAATATTTAAAAGAAAATATACTGTTGTGAATATATGTTAACTGAGACTTGTGAGAAAATAAATAAATAAAACAAATTATTAAGCCCAATAAAGCTGGAAAAGAGAAATGACTCAACTGAGAGCAAAAACAAGAATGCTTAAGGAAGGAGACAAAAATCAGTAAAAATTAATTGGCAGAAACAATAATTAAATAGGAGAAAGGGGTTAAGGCAGCTGGCTTCAATTCATCCACTTCCTTCATGGAGTGGAGAGACACACTGGGCAGAATGCAAGTGACCTTGTCAACAAAACCTCTTGGTAAAAAGATGGGAGAAATCTGTTAGGAAAAAGAGAACTTATTTCTGAAATGCCTTCAACAGGAAGTCTCTGGCTAAAGATTACTTATTGTAAATAGAATCCGAGATGTATGGGGCATGGTTCCTTGAAGAATGTCACATGAGCTATTCACCCAGGGTATAAAAATAGACATGTTTCATCACTGAAATGCACTCACTGCAGTGCTGCTGTCAGCCTCACAAACAGACCTATCTATTCCAGGTCAGAGGGGCATAGTCAACACAGGAAGAACTATTCTCTGTTGTTCTGAACTTTTTGACTGCCTGCATCCTTGACCTTATTTAGCAAAGTTTGGTACTAGGTTAAGATTTCTATTCCAAGTGTGGCTGGCTTTTCAATCCAATCCTGTGTGTTGGTAGCTCATTAACCAACAGATAAACATCATTGATTAACCACAGGCTCGATTTTTTTAAAATTTAATAAATTATATTTTAAAAGAATGTTTAAATATTTTCAAATATAACATTCATTCAACTAGAGAACAAAGTAGCACTGATAACTATTTATAAAAATAAAACATATTCAAATAAAAATAACAAAAAAAGATCCACATTAATAAAACTCAACAAGACAAAAAAAATAAAGTCACTACCTAATAAGAGTATTCCATTGTCACATATTCTTGAAAAACTGTGTAAAGGTTTTAAAGAATAACACATAGATAATATAATAATAACTGTCCAGGAAGATGTAAAATTAAAACACAGCCCAAACATATCTATAATGCAAAAACTATTTTGATTCCAAAATCTAAAAAGGAAATACCAAGAAAGATTAAGATATACCAATCTCAATTATGAAAAAATATACAAATATCCAAATATTATTAAAACTTCCAGCAATTTATCCTGGGGTTTCAAATTGATACAGCACGAAGAAAATAACCAACATGTATCATCTCCGTAACACAGAGAAAAAATGCTAAACTCTTCTACACTTCAGTAAATGCCAGGAACACATTTGACAAAATCCAGTATGTTTCAAATTTTAAGTCTAAAACTAAAGTCACTGAGAATTTATTAACTGACCATCAAAGACTATGTCTATTTCAAGCCATGTGTTGATTTATTTAATACAAATTCACTGGAATCATTCCCTTAAAACAGAAAAAGACAATGAATGCCCCCCCTTTTAGTACATCTATATACATGTATAATATATAATTATAAAACAGAATTTATTAACCGACTGTCAAAGACTATGTCTATTTCAAGCCATGTGTTGATTTATTTAATACAAATTCATTGGAGTCATTCCCCTAAAAAAGAAAAAGACAATAAATGTTCCCCCTTTTAGCACATCTATATATATTATAATAATACTTGCAATTCATATATTAATATTATTCACAATTACTATTCAATGGGAAAAAAGAAGTAGGAGTATAAACATAAGAACGAAGATATAAAAAACCATATATGCAGATGGAACAAATATGTATCTGGAAAGCCAAAAGGAAAAATGATTGAAACTATTACTAGAGACAATAATCCAGCAAGACTCCAGACTGTAAGATAAATCCATCAAACTTAATTGCATCTCTTTATAAAAATGATAGCTCACTAGAATAATTCAGGAACAGAATTAATTTCACTGATAACAGAGGTCAATATATTTAAATGCTAGAATATTCATTTAATTTTGGTCATAAGGATTTGTGTTTTTTAATTGCATAGCAGAAAAAGATATGAATAGTTGTGGCAATATATTTGAATCTGGTTGGGAATGTTAAATGCAGAAAAGATGTCAATACTTTCATAGTTGTCATATATAATGTTAATGAAAATAATTAATAGCATTTCTTGATTACTAATATATCAGTGATTATGAAAAGGCTTTAGTTGCATTTTGCATTTTCTGCTTAGTTCCTAATCCTATGAGATAAATTCTAATCTCCTTACAGACCAGAAAATTGAGAATAAGAGCAGTCAAGTATTTATCTACAATCAATAGGTAGTGAGTGACAAAGGCTGGACTCAAATGCCTACACTGGAAACTTCATACTAATTGAAAACTTGTTAGTGAATCTTTGTGAAAAGAACAGGCAGAATATAGTAGCATATTTTTCCCCTTAAAGAGGTAACAGTAAGGAATTTATTTACCAGATTTTTAAAGACCTCAGCGTTATAATTATATATTTTATTTTTTATGGCTAGCTACAAATGGTGTGTTTGATTAAAAATTAAAATACTGAAGTAATTTATTAGCATATAATCAAAATATGGGTTTCTGCCAAGTCTCTTAACTGCTCTGGGCACTGAGCCCAGTTTGGACCATATTGCCCACAGTTTCTAACTGGCAGCCACGCTGGGCCTCACTGGTGTGCCCACAGTGCAGGGCACAGGCCCATGGAAGAGGGCAGGACTTAGACCCAGCTGTGCACTGCTCTCCAGGGGCACTGGGCTTCACATACTAGGGATGGTGCAAGCAGGAAGCCTCAAGGATATAGTCCCATCCTCCAGTACTCAACCAGAAGTTCACCACTTGCCTGAATCCATGCGTTTCATTAAAATAAATAATACTTCTCTGCGTTCTTTTCTTTCTATTTAGCAGGCTTTAACTGAATCTTTAAGGTCTAAAAAGCAGCATTATTCCCATTATTCTCATGTATCATGGTTTATGCTGATTTGCCCCTATTTTATGATCTAATTTGCAATGCATAAGGTACTCATTTCTACTTCCTTAAATCTCCTGATTTTTAAAAATTTTACTTCTATAATTTTTTAACTAAATATCTTTAGATTTTGTCTTTTCTTTGCAAATATTCATCCTACTTGTAGTGTTCTTAATTCTCTAATTCTCTAATATTAGCCTACTTTTTTTCCCATGTATAGGGCATAATGTCACAGGAAGGTCATAGCATCCTGCCACCTGTGAGGAGTACCAAGTTCCTGGTGGATGTGTTGGAAACAGAGAAGCCATCCTTCAGGAACCCAGCTCTGATCACGTCCCATTGGTCTACCTTTTATTTCTAACTTTTTAAAATTTCAAATTATTTATAATCCTTTTATTTCATTTTTTTTTCACACACACACAGAAAACATGATATGAAGATAAAGACAGAGTCATGTTTCTACAGGCCAAGGAACATCAAAGATTGCCAGCAAACCACCAGAAGCTACGTAAGACGCAGAAAACAGATTCTTCCTCACAGTCTTTACAAGGAACCAACCATGCCATTTCGATCTCCTGGACTTCTAGCCTCCCAGAACTATGCAATAAAAAATTCCTGTTGTTTAAACCATTCAGTTTGTGGTACTTTGTTATAGCGCCCTGCCAAACTACCATAACCCTTATGACTTCACAATAAACTCCATTTCCATTTGAGCTAATTTGAGTGGGTTTCTGTTCTTTGCAAAGAAAAAAAAAGATAAGAATAAAAAAACCTAACTTATATCACCTTTGCTGTGAGCAGAGCCAGGACCATCCTCAGAAAATTATTCTGAATCTCCTCCAGGACAAAGATAAATGAATGAGCAAAGTTTAAGTTATCTTCTAAAGAAAATGGTCAAAATAGTGTTAGCCTTAGAAACTCTGAAGGCAGATAAAACCAGAATCCTGCCTTGACAAAATAAACTCTCAAGCAACTTCAGTATGTGTGCTTAGCTTTGAGTGACGTGGTTTTTTCGTATTCCTTCCAGGATAAACTATTAGCAAAAAATATAACAGAGTAGTCACTCATTTTTAAATGGAATTGTTATTCATTGCCAAGTTAAAAATTAGGGAATAAGAAATATTAAAAAAAAATTTTTAATAAAGATAAAAATTCTTAATTTTAGAAAAGAAGATTGGAAGTTATTTTCTGGCAATTATTAACTAGCAAGGTCATGCTACAGTGTATTAAACAAAAATTACCTTTCTGTCTGTCATAGTAAGCGTATGCATACAGCGCAACCAAAAGTGGCACTAGAACATCGAAATATAAATTTAAAACAGGCGGAGAAGTAATGAGGAGCTGGTAAAACATAACCACATGTTAGCAATTTCTAACGCCTCTATCTGGCAGTAGCCATTAACTGCTCTAAATCCCACAGAAGTCTAATGACTCTGAATGAGTATCCATAAAAGCCACAGATTATCTAATATTGTCCTTGATTTACTAGGTACGAAGTAGCCATATATAAAACCTGAGTTTTAGATAAAATATTGGCCTGAGAATCCCAGACTTTAAACAAGTAGTAGACTCAGAAGGAATATGCCACAAATAAAACTATAATTTGGAGAAACTAGCAAACTGCCTTTGTAAATATGGGATACGGCTTTTGTAATAGAGTTTAATACTGTCTGTTTGCTAAAGACCAGGGTTTTATAAAACTCATCACTTTATATAAACAACTGCAAGCCTGTTTTTCTTTCTAGAAGGTAAAAATTCTTTGATTAATGACTAGTCACACAGATATGTGTAAATCTTGGAGATATCCAGCGCCATGCTTCCTAAATAGGGATTTGTTTCTCTAAGTTCAGGTTACTAAATTGGCTGTTATTTCATGGAGACTTGCCACCTTAATATTGTGTCTTCTAATCCATGAACATGATGTATCTCGCCAATTTATTTGTCCTCTTTAAGGTTAGTGTTTTATAGTTTTCCGTAAGTTTTGAAAATCTCTTGTTAGATTTATCCCTAAGTATTTTATGTTTTAATATATTATAAATTATATTTTTATTTCATTTTCCAATTGTATGTTGCTAGAGCATATATACTTCCATACATTGACTTAGAAAAAAACACCTTTGCTAAATTTACTTATTCATTCTAGTAGTTGTCAGATTCCTTAGGATTTCCTCCATTCAAAAAAAAAGTCATCCAAGATCCTCCATTAAAAAAAAGTCATCTGAGAATAAATAATTTTGACTCTTTGTTTCTAATCTTGATCTTCTATTTCCTTTTCTTCCCCCATTGTCCTAGTTAGGCCTTCCAATACAACACTGAATATAAATAATTACAGCAGAGATCTTTTCCTGGTTCTTGATCTTGGGGGTGGGGGGAGCACTCAATCTTTCACAATTAAATATGACGTTAAGCTGCAGACTTCTCATATATATCCAATTGATCTTCTTAAGATATAAATCAGGCCACTCATTTACCCAAAATCCTCCAGTGAGTTCTCTAATCATTTAAAATAACTTCTTAAATCCTTAAAATGCCTTGCATAATTTGGTGTTCTGTTATCTCTCTGAACTCGTACCCTACCATTCTTCCCCATTATCAGTCGACAATACTGGCTTTTTGCTTTCAACACTACAAACATGCCCCCCACCCGCACCCCCAGTGTTTCTGCACTTGTTCCTGCTGCCTAACTGCTCCCACTACTAGACAGCCACAGGGGCCACTCCATTCTAATCTCTGCTCAAATTTTACATTATTACTGAGACCCTTCTTGACCACTTAATATAAAATAGAAACCCCACTCCCACCTTGCCTAAGTATTCCCTAACCACCTATTCTGCTTTATTTCCTCCCATACATCTTAGGACCATCTAACATATTCTATACTTCTTTATTTATTTGTACATCCTTTCCCCCTTGAGGGTGGTAACTTTTTCTGTGACAGAACTGAGCACATGGTTTGTGTTTACAAAGTGTGTACTGAATGAAAAAAATAAAAATCTAGTTTATGTTTAAGTGTAAAGGAGGCTCACCTTGCTTGTTGCTGCTTAATAGGGACAATGGGAAGCAAAACTGTCATCATCAAAGAACTCAGAAAGTACCTAAAATCTTATATAATCTAAATCATACTACAACTTTCTTAATATTCTAATATAATGATCTGGGCTTGGCAATTAAAATAGGGAATGAGACTAGATTCTGGAATATAACTACCTGTAGCTTGATTGTCATAACTGAGCTCAAGGAAGAATTCTTAATTGGAATCTTAGAGACATTTTTCTCAAGTTAATAATCCAAAGAATACTGCCTTGAACTTTTTCAACCCCAGATCTCTTTCTAGTTGATCACAGACAATGCTTTTTTAAAAGCACAGCTGATTGAAAAGCTTACATTAAATAAAGACTTTTTGATTCTTTATTTGATTCTTCCTGCAGAACTATGTATGGCCACTCTGGCAAATACTTACCAATTTTTTTACCCTTATGAATTCTAGTATCCTGGTCTCATCTGGATGGATCTAGAGTGTACTTTATCCTATTTTTTTAAAGGTGATCAATTTTCCAAGATTATAATGCTACTAATTTATTAGTTAATTGGAGATGACTTCTAAGCTCTGTTATTGGTTTATAGGGGGTGTTATGAAGACTCCCAAAATGGTAGAAACAGAAAAACAATATTACTCCAGGAAGAATATATATAAAAGGGGATCTGCTAGCTATAAAAGCAGAAAGGAAAAAAAGGTTACAACAGCTAACATTATACTCCTCACAGAAGAAATCTCTGGCTCGGTGACTGAATCCGTTTTGTTCCAGAGACAGGTATAATCCATTCATTGCGGAAACAAATGCATGAATCAATTTCATTAGAGTGACATCATGAAATACTGAGTTTACGTTACTAATGCTTTCTGATTACAATGTTGTGCAAGAAAGAATAAACTAGCTAGAGAATAAAAGTGGTCTTGTCACTTGATAGAGTTTCTATTTTTCTTTTTTTTTTGTCTCGCATAAACTTACAGGATTTTACTCTCAGGCCCATATCATGGGAGGCACGGTCTATATAAGCTTCATCTATATTCCCAAATGGATATTCTGAACAACACTTAGATCTCTTATTCCACTGAAGCTTTACGGTTGGTCTTAGGTCTCATAAAAATGCGATATAGTGTCATGTGTAGTATCATTTAAATAATTTGTAAGACTGTTCCCCTGGAAAGTTGTGCTCTATTCAGGAATCCATGGCCATAATTCTGGAACAGGTTCCTGAATAGCTAAAGTCTCAGAGAAAAAGGCCCGTTCTTCAAAAGGGACTTCACAATCAATGTACAAGTTTAAGGTATTTAATTTGACATCTTTATTTAAAACAACTATTTATTAATTGCTTTTGATTGCCTGCCTCTGCAGTTAGATTAATTTTCCCATTCTGCACAGTGTATCATCTCATAGAAAAGATTATAATAGTGTTTCATCTGCTGATATAATATCAATAAAATACACGCTAAATCGCCACAACTATTCTCTTCCAGGAAAGTAAGTATGTTCACCAGAAACCATATCATATACCAGTGGTCCCCAACCTTTTTGGTACTGGGGACCTGTGCTCCTATGAGAATCTAATGCCTGCTGATCTCTGGTGGAGCTGAGGTGGTGATGCTAGCGCTGGGGATTGGCTGCAAATACAAATGAAGCTTTGCTCTAGCCGCTCACCTCTTGCTGTGCAGCCTGGTTCCTAAGAGACCATGGACATAACAGATACCAGTCTTGGCCCGGGTGTTGGGGACCCCTGTCATGTACAACATTCTTTATTATTCTTTTGAACAACTGAATTAGGAGATATTAATATTTATTTCATTATGTGGAATTTAATATATGTCATAACAATCATGATGTGTAGCCCCAAACAGAAAACAACATTGAAACACATGCTACCCTCATTCCACAATGATTAAGATAAAATATTTTCTATTTAGATATATATAAACAGTGCTCCCAGCAAGATACTAACACCATCCTAAGGGAATATCCTTTCATATTCCTTCAGGAGAAAATGTATCTGAGAAAACTGAGACATCATCTAATTATAAAACAATTCTTAGCTAGCTCTAGGCTCTAATCTTAATGAAAAATACAAACTTCAGTCATTTACTTATGTATGATTGAAGATTTGTCTCATGCTGATTTTATTTTAATGGAAATAATCCCCATAAAGAATAAAGATGCTGCCATAAGCACCTTTAAGGATAATTTGAAAATAGATATCTTAGTAGCAGGAAGGAAAATATAATTTATGTGTAAATATTCCTTGAACATTTCTATATAATCAAACTTTAGTAAGAAAAGTAATG